TCGTTACTTGCGCATGCCGTTTGGTATCACCTCAGCAAGTGAGGTATTCCAGAAGAACATGGACATGCTTTTCAGTGGTCTGCCATGTGAGAGTATCATGGACGATATCATAATATGGGGTGAAAACGAAGACGAGCATGACAAGAATGCAGTGAAAGTGCTGGACAGAGCTGGGTAAATACGTCTGAAACTCAACAAGGACAAATTTCACTTCAAAGTGAAAGAGGTCAATTATGTTGGACATTTGTTAACTGATCAAGGAGTCAAACCAGACCCTGCAAAGATCACGGCAATCTTTGAAATGCGGACTCCAGATGACGTTCCATCACTCAGACGATTTCTAGCATGTCTAGGTATGGTCACGTACCTTGCCAAGTTTATTCCTCATCTCAGTGAGAAAGTGGCACCCTTGAGAGACCTGCTACAGAGCGACATTCAGTGGCACTGGAATCAAACTCACCAACAAGCTCTGGATGGTATCAAGAGAGACATTTGTGAGCCCAACACACTACAGTACTATGATGTTTAGAAACCCGTCACACTAATATGTGATGCCTCGAAGAATGGACTGGGTGCGGCTGTACTCCAAAGCGGTCGTTCCATTGCTCATGCCTCACAGGCTATGACGAAAACACAAGTAAACTACGCCCAGATCGAAAAAGAACTCCTGGCAATTGTGTTTGCTTGTGAGAAGTTCCATGATTATATATCCTTGGAAAAGAAGTCACAGTAGAGACTGATCACCAGCCTTTGATCAGCATATACAAGAAAGTTCTCTTTGCTGCACCGGCACGGTTGCAAAGAATGCTTTTATGTTTGCAACAGTACATCCTGAAGTTAGTCTATAAAAAGGGTGAAGAACTTCATGTTGCGGACACATTGTCAAGAGCCTTCTTGAAGGATGATTCAAATGTACCGGACTATGAGGAATTTGAGGTAATGACAGTTTTACCCATGACAGATGCCAGAAGTGAGCAACTCAAGGCTGAAACTGGTCTTGATCCGGAACTTGCATTAATATGCCAATATGTCAAACATGGCTGGCCACAGTACAAATGAGATGTACACTCAGAGGCATGGAAATATTTCTCATTCAGAGATGAAATCACAGAATGCGACAACATTCTCTTTAAAGGAGACAAAGTCATTGTCCCTACATCACTGCGGCATGACTACATGAAACATATTCATCAAGGACACCTCAATGCAGAGCGGTGTAAAGGAAGAGCAAGAGATGTCTGTCCTGTATTGGTGTAACATGAACTCTGACATTGAACAGTGGGTAGCTGAATGTGCAGTGTGCAACAGCTGCAAATCTCAACAGCAGAAGGAGCCTCTCAAATGTCATGAGATTCCTACCAGGCCCTGGCAAATACTTGCATCAGATCTATTCACTTGGAACTCAACCGAATAACTTGATGTCATAGAGTAACAGTTTAAAACAATAAGCCACTCCCCACGATTTCCACTTAAGCATAATAACTGCTCCCTCAGCAGGGATTTCTGGGAACCTCGGTCTGTCTGCTTCCGCCATGATTGTATGTCGAAACACTCAAGAAGAGTAAATGTGCATCTTGACTATCCCTCTAATACCGGGTTGTCTTGTTGATGATAGGACTGTATGTAGTCTGGGGTTACCACATATATTGGCGACGAGGTCAATTTAGCTAGTTTGTCGTGCCGGCAAGCTGTAACAACGATCTTGATCAGACCACGTGCGTTCCCTCGGTATTCAAAACAACATGGCTACCTTTGGCAAAATAGATGAATATGATTCTCAGACTGATGACTGGAATGAATATGTCGAGAGACTTGGACATTTTTTCGCAGCAAACGAAATTACAGATCAGGGTAGGAAACGTGCTATTCTATTGAGTGTGATTGGTGCGAAGTCATACAAGTTACTACGGAACTTGTCTACGCCACAGAAACCTGGCGATCATTCTTATGATGCGTTAGTACAGCTGATGAAGTCACATTTACACCCGAAACCCACTATTATGATGGAAAGGAGGAGGTACAATATGCGTGATAGACAGCCTAATGAAAATGTATTGACATATGTGGCTGAGTTATGTCGTTTGGCATCGACATGTGAATATACTGATTAAGAGACTCAGTTAAGGGATCGTCTAGTGTGTGGTATCAACAATGAAGCAATGCAAAAAAGACTGTTAACTGAGAAAACATTGGACTTTGCTAAGGCTTACTCCTTGTGTTTAGGAATGGAAATGGCTGCGAAGGAAGTGCATGATAATAAGGGGGGAGATCAGGTGCCAAAGCCAGTGCACAAGATTAGAGAGGATTACAGGAGAAATAATGCAGACAGGAAGTGTGATCACTGTGGGGGCTCAAATCATGTCAACAGTCAGTGCTATTACAAAAACACTGTGTGTAACAACTGTAATAAGGTTGGTCATATCCAGCGAGCTTGTCGCTCTCGCAGCGCCAAGAATGATAGATCTTCAGGTCGTGGTCACAGCAGTGGTCGTGGTCGCGACAGGGGCTGTGGTCATGGTCGTGGTAACTAGGGCCGTTACGATTCACTCGCGTATTCGGTGAATCAAACCGTATCCATTCATGAATTGAATTCGTTATTTGTGGCCACTAGAATCGAATATTTATGAATATGCAATCATGTGCATTTGCATACCCTGTACCTAAAACATCCATAAGAACATATGATATGCATAGATTTCTTTAAAGACAACACTCTTATAATATTTAATTTGACAGGAATTTGGTCACTGGTCATTGTAGCATTTGAGCAGATACTAAGACTAAGTACCTGGACAAGTGCAGTATATAAATGTACAATATAGATAATTAACAAACCATGTCAAATAATTTATGTTGTTAATGTTTCACTGAATATAACAAATAATACATAAACTGCTGACTTATTATTGTGTTCGTGAATTAATATTCGTATTTATTACCCTATATTCATGATACGAATCGTAGTCGCCTCATAGGTTATTCGTTGCAGCCCTAGTGGTAACCATAACAATGACAACTGATCTTCCACTAATCACGCTAATCGTATTGACGATGTATCTCAGGATACATGTTGTGCAAGGAGAAAGGATGTAGATTTATATCTTAACTAGCGGTAAGGGCCATACAGCTACAGCTAGGGTTACCTCCCTTGCACAGCACATGGCCAACCACCAGAAACCGTGCTCTTGTATGAAAACACATGGTCCCAAGTAAAGAAGGCTTATTAGAAGTTCACTCTTCTTGTTGATTCACTTTAAAGTTGACACAGCAACTTACAACAACTGAAGGATAACTGACGACATGCCGCAACCAATGTTATTTTCAAAGTGAGGCCCAGGGAGATACCATGCCATTGTTTAACATGGAAACCATACTCAGACATAGCTAAACTGACTCTGAACCGAACAGTCCTTGTTTTGTCCCTTTAACGCAGAGTGATAGGCAGGGAAACATCAAGTACCATCTCATAGTGACTTTTGGCATGATCCAGAGGATCGAAGCAAAGACCTGCTGTTCTCTGGGCAGACACTCTATCCACTAGACCATGGAGGTGGTTGCCACAACAAAGCTCACTTGACTTTCACTGAGGCGAGCTGAAAGGGACATTTTCTGTCCCTGTATAGGCACATTATCTGTCCCTGTATGTTTTAGCTCTACCTAATCAGGAATCCACAAAGGGATCAGTAACATTTACATATATGTGAGTGTCCATGAGGACTTGAACCTGCATACTTCTACTGGTCAATTCTGTAGTAAGGTGAGGTGAAATGGGGTTTAACGTCGCGTCCAAGATTATTGCACTTTTATAGCGACGTGCATGTACGTGTGTGTATTTGTGTGGCTGCTTGTACTAGTCCGGACTGATGCCGCTTTATAGTGCTAGCTTACTGAGATACCATGCCGCAGTTTAACATGAATACCCTACTCAGACACAGTATACTGGCTCCGAGCCGACCAGTCCTTGTTTTAGCCCCTTAATGCCGAGCGCCAGACAGGGTAACAACAAGTACCATCTTTTAACGTCTTTTGGTATGATGCGGCTGGGGATCGAACCCTGGACCTTCCGCTCTCCGGGCGGATGCTCTACCAATAGACCACGGAGGCGGTCTAATTCTGTAGTAAACACAGTTAAAAATAAATATACTGTAAATCTTGAAATTAATGCAAGCATGAAGTAAATGTGAAAAAATTGCAAGTGGTCTTTGCTCGCATTGATTAAACATCGCATTTATATCTCAAAACGATTATCAACGATAAGATGGCCTCACTTTACATTTTGGATAGCAGAAATACCAACATCACTGTTTATTGAGCAGCACTTGTAACAAGTATATGACAATGTCATTCAAACACTAGCATTTGGACATTCTGTGAATTGTCACTGCTGGGGTCAAGAGTCCTACTCACGCGTGTCTAACTATGCATCAATTAGCCTTGGTGAGTGAGGTGTGAGATCGGTTTTACGCCTCTTTTAGCAATATTCCAGCAATATCACGGCAGGGGACACCAGAAATGGGCTTCACACATTGTACCCATGTCGGGAATCCAACCTGAGTCTTCGGTGTGACGAGCTAACGCTTTAACCACTGGGCTACCCGACTGCCGTCAATTAGCTTTGGAGTTTTCCCACTTTTATCAACTGATATATTTGATATCAAAAGACACTTGGGTGAGATTATCTATATACACGCCATGGGCGGATAGAGCTTTTTTGAAAAGGGGGTGTGCACAATTAAGATCTATTTATAGTCTTTGGTGGTAATTTATACAGAAATAAAGATTTTTTTCGAAATAAAAAGGGGGGGTGCGCACCCCCGCACCCCTCCCTCTGTATCCGCCAATGCACGCTATCATCGAGTTCCTCTGGAATTACAATGTACAGGTAAGTCCCGTCGTAGTTCTACGATTGTTTTGTGAACCGCGGGGCCCATGCTGGGACCGATAATGAAATAGTCACTTTACGAGGCCCGACTTACCATTGTGTAGATAACCCGACTTACCCATTTTGAAGACAGAGGGTGATTCTAGAGGGCGGTTAGCTAAGGATACCCGATTCAACAAGCTCCTTGCTTGAGTGTAGGAGCGAAGCTGTCGTATCGTCGTACCGGTAGTGTTAATCTCCCAACATGACAACGTCAGTGACTTCTTGGTCAATATATGATGAGGTAAAAGCCCAATATACCTCATTAAAGTGGAGAATAAATTACTATGATACAACAAAACACCACAGTCCACATAAACCGTGATATACCACACTGCAACAACGCTGTCACTCGCGGTCAACTTATGACCGAATTTATAGTGGGATTCTATCAAGGAACTTGTGGCAGCGATATTGCGAGCCCTATATTTCTGGCGCTGTGGGGAACAAGCTCCTCGCATAAAGGGAGGTCACCCACGTGCAGCATAAAAATGTAGCAGAACGGTTTGTGTTGTTAACGCCGCAAATAAATCAGCAATATTCCAGCCATATGACGGCGGCCACTCAATTGGGAAACGATGACATGCACCAACCAAGCTAGCGAGCCTGACTACCCGATCCCGTTATATTTTGGTTTCCAAAATCCAACAGTCTCTTACAAGAGGTGACCTTATAAACAGTGGGGGTGAGTGAGTTCAAATTTAACGTCGCATCGGCATTATCTCAGCCATATAGCGACCCTTATAAACAGACTAGATCTAAGGTTATAGTTGTCGGGTCGATTTTCAGTCAGAATATATTTCTCTTGCTCGAACATTTGATAGTGTCTTATATTATTGTTTAATGTTTGTTGTTTAACGTCGCACTCAGCAATATTCCAGCGATAGTACAGTCTGAATCCGACAATCCAGTGATTCACATCATGAGCGTCGGTCTACACAATAGGGATACGATATACGATGACTTGCATCAACCAAGTCACTAAGCCTGACCACCTGATTCCGTTAGTCGCCTCTGACGACAAGCATAGTCGTCTTTTACGGCAAGCATGGGTTGCTGAAGACCTATTCTACCCCGGATCTTCAAGAGTATTATTGTATAATGTCCCGTCCCTTGTTTGCAGATTCTATATTTCTGTAGTTTTGAAATCTCTATGTCTTCGGGCCCTCAAAAATGCGTTACATATTTGTATATATACGATGACTTGCATCAACCAAGTCACTAAGCCTTGACCACCTGATTCCGTTAGTCGCCTCTTACGACAAGCATAGTCGTCCTTTTACGGGAAATCCCCAGTAAACTTCGAAAGGAGTCTGGTGTTTGAACACCTATTGGAATTAAAAGGAATGCATAGGACATACTTTATGATCAAGTATTTACTGAGGTATCAACTTTTGAATTCGTTCTTGGAAATGTCTGCAAATCCGATAATATAGCATTCATGACAATGATACTCGTGCAAGACAATACACAATGATCATGTTTCAAAGGTGTAGCTTGCTATGAAATAAACACCTAAAGTTAGTACATATCCGGTCATAACATGTGTAACGGATTAACATTAATATACCTATAATAATATATGATCCATAATTATCCGTCAGGATACTAGCATCTTAGACTATCAGCATTGTACATCTATACGCATGCGCGGCGTGAGTCCCAGTACAGACGTCTCTTAGTATCTCAGTAAACAGTGATTAACCAAACCCAGCGTTCGTTATGCAGTTCTCAGCTGATACGACAACCTGAGAATATTACATGATGTATTTGCATTTGTTTCAATGGCGTATAAAACTCCGGCTTTTAATCCTGTGATAATAACTACAGCTTTCTGTGAGCGGTAGCTCTATTGGAATGATATGAACAAGTGTTTTGAAGTTGTAAGCTTCTTTTCAACCGCGTAACTAAGGACTTTAATGGGATATTTAAGTAAGACATATATCAACCTAAAACAGTCAAATATCACACAATTTCACTTGTCTCCATCTTGGATGACAAGGCGTAACTATTTCAGCGGCGTGCAATAGTTGGATAAACATTCTGCGGTAGCGTTGCGGAATTGATCAGGAACCTTCCCTCGCTATCCATGTTATTCAGGTCCGTGCTATGGTTCTCTTTTGGGTAGCCAAGTGCCGCGCATGAATGTATTAACGACATTCCCAGGTACATGGGCCTTTTCGTCTCCAGGGCCCACTTGCACAAAGCGATCTTAGTGCTAATATGATCGTAACTCCCATACTTTAACATAGGCTTACAATAGTCATAGCACTAAGATCGCTTTGTGCGAGTGGGCCCTGGGCCGGTTCCACAAAGCGACCGTAGCGCTATGGTGATCGGAACTCCCATTATTTAACATGGACTTACGACAGTCGTATCCTAGGCTAAATGCAAGAGTGCTCATCTTTTAGGATCTTACAAAAGCAGTAAAGGTGTTATCCAGTAATTAGTATAGCACATCCCACCCTCCAGAAATTCCTCTCGGTATGTGAGTGAGTGAGTAAATGTTGCTTTAAGCCGCATCAGCAATATTCCAGCTATTCGCGGCTATCCTCTCGGTATGGAACTAGCCACAGAATGTATCAGGTGACTATAAACTAGGGTACTAAGTATCCTCATTCACTAGGTAGTTTAGCTAATAAAATATAGGACAGAAAATATTTTTAATATCTTGAGACATAACTAATAAAATAACAAATGACATTTTAGTTCATATGTCAACATTTTTGTTTGCGTAATTGCATTTGATATCTATAGTTTTTAATCTCCTGGTCTCCTTTGGTGTGTATATACTACTTTGTTTTGGTAAAACAATGCACATATTAATCTTTCACCGTGCTTATAATTACAAACAAAATGGAGGGTGACAGGCACTGGTGCTCTATCTGATTATCATGCATCTCCACATTTTGCAAAGGAGTATGTATATATGTATTAACAAGAACGACAGGAATACTGAGGATACCGATCTCGGCGATGTTTATAGATAGGTCTGCTACAGATAGGTATACAAGTGTATGTTAGACAGTATGCGTACTATATTTCATGAATTCAGAGTAGATATGCAAACAATATGTTTCAGCTGTCACGGTAAAATTTGCTAAGCCACGTAAATGCCAAAATCGCAATTTACAAGTAAATTATAATATTAAGACATAAGAGAAGGATCGAATATGGGGATAAGCTTTTCTGTGCAATACCATCACGCCAGTCAATTCACGGACACTAGCACAGTACCCTAAATTCGTTATTGTAACATATCGGTGTTGCCGGAGAAGCAATGTTAGAGTGTATATAGTTCAATTTTCTTACATTTTCAATTTACATAGACGTCTGAAAGATTGGTTAGCTGTTGTGATACTTATCGTGGAATATACATTTACAAACAATTATATAGTGATACAACGAGGATTAACCCCTGTGTTCGATTGTTACACATCTACACACGAGTGATTAATCTGTCTCGATTGGAACGTGGCTTTGGGGATGGTAAATATCCTTCATTGTTAATCTTTTTTTCCCCCATAACAATACGCCATAAAAAGTCGAGCTCGTAGTTGAAGATTTCCCGTGTTTAGTGACCACTCGGGATTCACCTCAGCCTCGTTTTCGAATATGCTCAGTAAGACAACTTAAGAGCTTAGAACCATAAGGGCCAACGTCATGTGGAGTCTGTTTTGAAAAATAATATACACATCGTCATAAATATCGCACCACCCACTTTTTTTTGGAACTCCAACCTCATAAAAATGGTGCTTAGAAAAGCACATTAAACTGTTTATATGGCCTCATGTGAGCGTTCAGTCAGAAAATTGACAACACAGGCCGAATTTGAGCACTAATTGAGGGTTTAATTGTAGCAAACTAAAGGTCACTAAAATCACCTTGAAATAAGGTGAAATAAATATGGCCGCCGGAGTCGTTACAACAGACACACAACACAGTTCACATTTCATTAATGTCGAACACACTAGTGAGGTCCACAATGACTGGCTAACTCAGTATCGGGTGTAACTGCCTCGCACTTGGATAACATGTTCTACACGCCGTCTCATGCTGGTCACCAGACGTCTGAATCTCTGTTGGGGGATCTGCTGCCACTCATCATGTAATGCACGGGTCAATTCCTGAAGGTTCTGAAGTGGAGGATTCCTTGCTCGCCAAAATGTCCCACAAATGCTCAATAGGATTAATGTCCGGACTTTTGGCAGGCCAGGTTAGTGTCTCAATGGCGTTGAGTTGAAGATGCTGAAAAACAGCTCTAGCACGATGTGGTCTGGCATTATCGTCCATGAAGAAATGAGGCACAGCAGCATCGCCCAGGATCAAGTTCTGGTACCTCTGTCCATTCAGTGTTCCGGGAACTGTGATGAGGTCAGGTTTACAATCGTAGGAACAACACCCCCACACCATGACGGATCCACCCCCTAATGGAACATCAGCTTGAATGTTCCTCTGAAATCTGCTTTCATCGGACCAGTGGATCCTTCTCCATGTCCTCAGTTTCCAGGGAGCACGTGCTTGGCACCAGGCTAAACGGGCATGGCGGTGCTGATTTGTGAAGAGTGGACGTCTGATTGGTCGTCTTGCTCTCAATCCTGCAGAATTTAGGCGTCGTCTGATGGTGCTGATGGACACTCTGTTGTATGGATGTCATCCATGTCGCAGCTGTGTACAAGTAGACTTTGGGCTTCGTCTGGCTTGGCGTACGAGAGCACGATCTTCCCTGTCATTGGTTTTTCTTGGACATCCAGACCTCGGTGCATCCTTCACTTCACCGGAAGCAGTATGCTTACGTATTAGCCTGCTGATGACAGTGTGATTAATGCTGTTGTGCTCCAATAGCACGACATAACACGCCAGTCTGGTGCATACCATTAATTTGCCATCTTTGGTTCAGAGGCACTGGACGCTTGGACATTTCACTGGTTGGTCAAAATAAAGCTTAATTTATGCCTAAAACCAAATTTTAGCTATGTCTGCCAACATAACATACGCCAAAAGAGGCTATGTGCATACTGCATTTTTAGCAAACCGACCCCCGGTACAAGCATGCTCAACGCATGCATGCACGTGCAGCTCGGAACAGGGTGTGTTTGTGATATTATGTTCACAGATGGTGTAGTATATGAAATATGTACTTGTAGTTTAAAAAACCGAAAATTATATTTTCTACTTTTACTTTAAAATGTGTGATGCTATAAGTATGACGAGGTGTATATTATGCATGTCAATAAACTTTTCTTACCGATAATTTCCTAGACATTAACGCATTCTGACAGCAGAGATATAAATGTTGTTATAAAAAAAACATTCAAAAAAGGAAATAAACTTATGTCTTTAATTTGTGTAAGGGCTGAAAGGGCCAATGTCTGTATTTTGGCCCTTTTTTACCCTGA